GCTTTCTCGGTCCTGAACGACTGAGGAGGAGAAGTCCAGATCAACCATGTGAAAGCTTTTTCTTTATTTTTAATATAAATAAATTATGCAGTGTCACGAGACGGCGACGAGACTTGATATAGATTAGCGGTGAGATGAGATGACGCGACGAGTCTGACGAAGCGGGTTCCGAGTTAGTCCAGATCAATTTTGGGTTAGAGGATTAACCCGGACCCGAGCCATTTTTCCTAACAGGTCGAACCCTAGAGCCTAGACTCGACTCGTTTAACACGAAAGTTTTGGGTCGAATTTTTAGGTCTTGTCAAATAATGACACCCTAGAAAAATAATTATAAAGGTAGACTATAAGATTTGTGTCTATTGAATATGAGATTAAAAAATTATAATTATCCTATATTTGTTTGTGTAGCTGCTTCAGTAAAATAAGAAATTTTTTTGCAACAGAAAATGTAAAAAAATGCACAAACAAAAAAGTCGGATGCTTATCCCGAAATCTGTTAAAATTTTTTTATTCTTTTTCAATTTTATGCGAGTAATATGGTATTTGTATTTGCATAGTTTAATAGAGTAGAAGAGTTTTGAAAGATTTGTTAAAGAAACTTTTTATCCTTCTTCTATCATATTTTTTTCTATCATATAAGGATTAGCTTTGCTCTTATCATTAATAAGAGTTTTGAAAGAGTAAATAAAGAAGCTTCTTCACTTTCTTCTACCATGTTCTTGTTTTCGGATTGGCTTCTCATGCTTCGCTTGAGGAAGAGTTTTGAAAGAGTCACCAAGGAAGCTTCTTCGTCTTATTCTACACTTTGTTCGGGTTGAATTAGAAGTCACGATGGAAGCTCGAAGGTAACAATATTTTTCTATAACTTGAATGCATAATCTTTGTGCATGCATAGGTATCTACATAAATTCCATTATTTATTTATTGAATATTTTGATCTTTGTGCTCTTTCCCTCTTTGTCAAACTTGTGCATGCTGCAATTATATTAATCTTTTTATTTTATTATGATTATTGTTCATTGATAGGGCCAATGCTCAACCAAAGCTATTTGTGAGAATAATACTTATTTTTTTTATAATAAAGGTATTGCTCTATATGGTCTAATTATTGGCATCATTCGACCCGAACCTGACCCGTCGACCGGAATTGACACCCCTAGTTATTATTATGGTTATCCACGGGGAGAATTTCGAGTGAAACTCGATATTCCATTTTTTTATGGCCGAGTACACATAGACTATTTGGATTGGGAGAGGCCGGTAGAGACTTTTTTTAGTATATGATTATTCTTAAGTATTCTTCTTTATCTCAATCATATAAACAACACCATTAGAACATTATACTCCTTTTTTCACATTATTTTTAAAATCCTCTCATCCAATCTATAGTGGATGCATGTGTATAAAACTAAGCCACCTAAATCTCTATGCTCTTTGTGTACTATTCTATGTTATGTTATCATTTAATCTCCTCATAAGTTATCCCAAAGTACAGTTTATTCTCATTTAACTCTCTTATGAATTCAAGCTTTTTCATAGCATGATGTAATAGCAATAACAATACATAATGTAATAATTATCATAACAGGCCCAAATGAGCATGCAGTAGTAACATTCTTGAAAAATGTATCATTTAGTTTAGTGACATAAATCAAATGAACATAAAAATATATGATTCTTATGAGATAATATATAATTCATATGAGATATGTAAATCATGCATACACTTCTCATGTCAAATGTTATGCACACAATAATATTCTCATGACCATGAAAATCATAGTACATGTATAATATAACTTATAAGTCTCTAACTATTGACATAAAAGCACCAATAAGCGCTAATGTTATTGACATTTAAAATAGGAATTTATAAGTGAAATATAAATTAAATAAAGCTTAATGACAACTAGTTACTTAAAGTCTTCAAAGAACATGATAGTGAGGTTATCATAATATCTTGTCCAATGAGGTTTCTAATACGGCTTACATGATATTTAAAATCATTCACACTACTAAGATGGATATAGTAATCTTATATCATAACAGGAGTTCACTAATATCCTCACAAACTCTTGAAACACAAAATCTTTCATACTTCAAGTATATTTCCCAATGATAGATGTATTTAGAAGAGTATCTCAATCTAAGGGAATTGTTATCACTGGAAACTCTCAATCGGAAATAGGCAAGTTTCTAGCTGCTCTTCAGTCCAATTTCTGCATGCATCTTGGCAAACTCAGCTACTTTCTAGGCCTGCAAGTCACTTATAACACCAAATGGTCTTCACCTCAATTAGGCCAAATATGCGACTGAAATCCAGCTCAAAGCAGCAATGTCCAAATGCAAACCTATCCTCACTCCCTTACCCACCAATTTTTCAGTTGCAGCCCACAAAACAACCCATATACTCGTCCAGATTTTTATCGACAGCTAGTGGGATCGCTACAATACTCAACCATCACTCACCCTAATCTACTATATGTTGTCAACTTTTTATGCCAACACATTCACAGTCCGCAACAACTACATTTCCAACTTCTAAAAAGAGTTCTGCATTATGTTCAGGGTGCACTCTCCATTTTGGCTTGCCCATTACTCGATCCACCCTTGAATTAAAGGCCTTTGCAGACTCGAATTGGGCATCAGACCACACTAATCTCCACTCTATCATAGGTTACTGTGCCTTCCTCCCCTGGACGGTTAAGAAGCAAACTTTAGTCGCTAGATCTTCCAGAGAAGCCGAGTATAGAGCCTTACGTACTGCAGCCTATGATATCATCTAGCTCAAATGTCTTCTGACTGAATTTTAGGTTCCTCCATCTCATCCGACAAAGCTCTATTGTGACAATGTCTCTGCTCTTTCTTTGGCAAATAACCCAATCTTCCATGCAAGAGCAAAATATATAAAAATTGATTGTCATTTTATCTGAGATTGTATTCGGTCACAGCATATTTTTGTTCATCATATTTCAACTCAAAACCAACATGCTGATCTCTTCACCAAGACCCTAAGTGAGGCTCGTTTCTCTCAACTTCGAGACAAGTTAACAATTCAGTCAGGAATTGTTAAGTTGAGGGGGGATAATAAGCAAAGCTGATATGCGAACTACCTTATGCATGTGCTGGCTCACTATTCCTCTTACTCAGCTCCACTACATCTGCTCTGAATCAATACCTTTTATCTCTCTACCATAGGATCTCTGCTTCTGTAATCAACACCCTTAAACTGTAACTAACTACTCAATATATACACATTGTATTTACCTAAAGACAGATTTTTGAGATGAAGAAATGCATGCAGTAGTAAAAGCTAGCTTGTTCGCCTAACCTCTCTGTTACGCTAGTATGAGTTCTGTAACTTGCAGGTAAATTTCTTCACAACGTAGATGGCATAAACATATCCTGGCTTGTTACAGTCATTGAATTTGGCCTATTGAATGGGTTACTATGGCATATTTATTTGTTTTTCAAGGTTTGTAAAAGCCCAAGTATATAATAATGTCTTCAAATTCATTCATTTAATATACAGCTAGACAGAGTAGTAACTGGAGATTGAAATGGGGAACCGATGAGATGGGAAATATATTATCAGAACAGTTGTGTATTTGCAAGTTTTTATCATCGACGAACTTTTCTTTTTTACACTGATTGTAGGTTTGGTGGTGCTTTGTGGAGCGTTGGGGGGCATGACGAACTTTTCTTTTTTAAAATTCTCCGGTAACTCCTCTCTTATTTTAAACCTATCGCATGATGTTATGGGATGGATTGATAGGGCATCTTGGGGTTATATTGTATATCCAGTAACCTATCGCAGTAACTTCTTAAATCAAAATTTTAACAAGCCTTGGGGTTATTAAAATTCATCCTTAATATAAAATGAGATTACTGCAGGGCATCTTCATAGTTGCCATAATCATGTATATAAATTCTTTAGTAGTACCACAACTTATAAATGAACGCTTAAATAAATGTGAAATGCAAAGCTTGTGTAAACTTTTACGTCTATAAAATGTAAGAAATTAATATTTAAAGAATAATTTGGATGCATATGACCATCAGAATGAGAAGTGACTATATATAAACATTAACCCAACATTGATATAGCGTTGAACAATACATACATAAAGTAACTAATCTATAATCACCTTAGGAATTAAATAACTTTCAATCGAAGGCATAGAAGAAGTAGCTTACATTGGGAATCGGTGACATGTATGCTTCCAAATGAATGAGAACCGTGAGCTTCAACATCCTCTTAATCTTGAAGAAAAAAATTAGTCATGATAAAATATTTCAATGAATCAGCACGAATGCATGATAATTTGAATTGAAACCTTTCAGAATCCTCTTGGCGTCAACAGCTTATTCGCGAATTACATTGTGGTGGGCTTGCAGCCCGAATTAGTCGTGACAAGACCATCGAGCAGCTGCAACTCCGATTCTTCTAGCCACACTTGCGTCTTGATGTCAACAGATTCGGCAAACGGTGCTCAGTGTGCCAATCTTATAAGGGCGGCAAACAAAACATATGTTTGTACTTACCTTTGTCAGTTCCTGATACAATATGGGAAGACCTTAGTCTTGATTTTGTCCTCGGCCTACCACGAACAAAACGAGGTAACGATTCTATCATAGTTGTATTAGACATATTCTCCAAAAAAAATGACACATTTTATTGCTTGCAAAAAAAACATTTGATGCCCTTAACATTGCTTGCTACAATATGGGAATGCGTGAAGCAGCTAAATGAATATAACAGTAACAGAGCAAAGCAAATAGCAAATAAAAGGGTCCTATATCCTCCTCTATTTCTGTATTCTTCGGCAATACAACTATATGTCCCAGCTGTCTAAATCTAACGAGATGGAAGTGGAAAAACTAACAAAAGCAAAAACCATACTAGAGATAGCAGAAAGAAAAATTATAGTAGTGGGGATTAAACTACTAAAGCAGAAACGAAAAATAGCAAGAATGCAATAATTATCTTATTAAGTACCGCGTCATTTCTCCCCCACAGGAGAGGACTCTGCTATCTCGGCAGAGGTTGAAATAAGGGCGTCGTCGGCTGGATAATACGAATGAAGATCGGCCATGTTAAAAGTAGAAGCCATGCCAAAGTCAGATGGTAAATCCTCACTACTATAATATCTCTTTCTGCTATCTCTAGTATAATTTTTGCTTTTGTTACTTTTTTCCGCTTCCAGCTCTTTAGACAGCTGGGACATCAAACAGAGGACGATATACGATCCTTTTATTTGCTATTTGGTTTGCTCTGTTACTGTTCTATTCGTTTAGCTGCTTCACGCATTCCTCTCCCGATTACCTACATCACCCGAACTCTGCAATGAACTACGCCATCGGCATCATCATCGTCGTCCTCTTCGTTCTCACTACTATAACCTTCATCTGCTACTTAATTTTCTCTCGTTCCACCGCTGCCCCACTGCTTCAGCCCGCACAGAACACTGAGACTAGGCTCAACGACACCACCCTCGAATCCTTGCCTCTTCTCACCTACGCCGAAGCCAAACGTCTGGATCCGCGGGCTGCCACCACCGACAGCTGCTCAATATGCCTTGGCGACTATAATGAGGAGGAGGAGGAAGGGGAAGATCTGCCATTGAAGCTTTTACCTGATTGCGGTCATTTATATCACGCCGTATGTTTGGATTCCTGGCTGCTGCAACATCGGACTTGTCCGTTATGTCGGTCGTCGGTGATGAATGTTGCCACACAGACGCCTTTGGCCGATGCGATTCCTCTTCCGCTTGAAATTGACCAGGCGTAGGTGTTGATGTATCTATAGTTTATTCAATCCCATTGGTTTCGTCATAGTCCTTTATAATGTTAAAAATTAAGAATTACGAGCTGCCGAATAATTACTCCCTGGTCTTCGGGTCTTCTAGATAGGGCTGCAAATTAATAGTCGAGTATGCGAGTGTTGATGTTTGAGTTCATTTATTATAAATTTGTTCAAGTTCGATTCGTGTTTGATTCGAGCCTTATTGTTTGTGTTCATGTTTGATCTATTTAGTGTTTATCGAGCTTTAAACAAACAAGCCTTAATAAGCTATGTTCGTGAACATATTTAGCGATTTTTTTTAACACTATCAAATAAACACGTTCATGAACAATTCTAATGGGTATTCTTGAACTATCAAATGAGTAATATCATGAATAAATACATAACTAGTATTTTTGAGCTACCAAATGAGCATGTTCACAAACAAACGATCAATGATTCATCTTATATTTGTTCATGAATATCCTAAAAAAAAACAATATAACAAACATTGACAAATGTGAAATATCTCCTATCCATGACCAAATTCATTTTATTGAAGGTATAAAATAAAATGACATTAAATTTATAATAAAAGCAATTGTTTATTTAAAATGAAAATATGATTAATTTATATGAATATATTGATTGAGCTTATTCACGAGTTCTAAATTGAACACGAATCAAGCTTAAGATGTCAAGCTTATTCACGAGCTTCAAATGATGTTATTCGTGAACATAAATGAACCAAACACATTAGTGTTTAAGCTTTTTTATTTGAGTATTAAAAAATGTTGTTCAAGCTTATTTGTTTAGTTAGTTAAACTATCACAAGCAAACTTTAATCGAACGGAGCAACGAGATGCTCGTCGAACATTTGGTTCGCTTGCAACCCTACTAGAGATTTACGAGGGCTGCTTGAGTTGCCATGGGATGGATCGAAGGGGTATTTTTGGCTTAACGAAAAGAAAAATGGATATTATCAGACTTCAAGTAAAACTCAGCTTTTAATTGCTTGGTGTATGAGTGTTATTAAAGAAGAAAATTACATAAAATTGTGAGGGTATTTCTTACTTTTACTACTCGGTTGGATGTAATTATTATAATTTGGTCATTTTTAAATTATGAGTGATAATTTTGTAATTTTATTTTGGGTTATTTGAGGTGAAAGATTATTTAATAAATTGGTTTACGTATATTATCTTAAATATTTAGTTATTTCTCATTAATTATATTTATTAGTCTTCTATCTAATTTTTTATTATATTATCTTTAACTAAAGATGATATAATTTTTTAGCTAATATCACATTCAACTTTGTTATTTATAACTTCTAAGAGATCCATATAATATTATCAATGTAATCTTCATTTTATAAAATTTACATTTATATTTTCTTACTAAGCATATAATAAAAATAGGGATCGACAATCATTCAAATTTTGATTGTCTTGTGCTTAGTGGAATTTTCTATTTGGCTATATATTTTAATTTCCTTTTATTTGTGTGTATTGTAAAAATTTATACCATTTTATGAGGACTTTATATAATCTATATCTATAATATATATACTTCTATTATAAGTGTGATTTTAATTTCCCACCACATCAAATCTTAGTCATTCATAAAAATTATATCATTTTTATTGTAGGTTATTTGAGTGAAAGATTATTTAATAAATTAATTTACACATACTATCTTAATTGTTTAGTTATTTCGCATTAAATATCTTAATTAATCTTCTATCTAATTTTTCATTATATTATCTTTAATTTAAGATAATATAATTTTTATGAACAACCATGATTTGATGGGGGTAGAATATATATATATATATATAATCCTAATAACTGGTTAAAATTGTCATTTAAAGATAAAAATACATATGATGCTCTAAATTTTTACAATGCATATAAAATAAAGGAAATAAAAAATTTAGCAAAATAGAAAACTCTACTAATCACAAGACATAATCAAATTTTGAATGATTATTGAGCCTGATTTTATTATATGCTTCATAGGAAAATATAAATGTAAGTTTCATAAAATGAAGATTACATTGATAATATTATATGGATATCATATTATAGGGGTGATATAGACATTATAAATAATAAAGTTGAATGTGATATTAGTTAAAAATTATATCATCTTTAATTAAAGATAATATAATAGAAAATTAGATAGAATACCAAAAAATATAATAATGAGAAATAACTAAAAAATTAAGCTAATATAAGTAAATTAATTTATTAAATAATCTTACACATCAAATAATCCACAATAAAATTACAAAATGAAGTTATATTCATAAAGTTTGAGTACAGACAGCTATTTATAGAGTTTACAGAAGAAGGAAATGGCGCCCGAGGTAAGATGTTGACGGATAAAG